TCACGTATTCACAACTGTAAACCTACCTTTGCCCCACCCTGTATATCTTGTTTATTTCACTTACTGTATCGTGGAACTCTTGCCATTCATAAAACAGAGAATCATGCTTAGTAGCCCTGTGATATTCTATTGTATGAATATACTATGATTTAACAAACTGGTTGACAGACAATGTTTTTTCCTCTTGGAACTACCATCAACAATGATTTAAAAGACAAACATCCCTTACCCAGCCCATAGGGCTGGCAGGGTCTCATCCTGCGGTCTCGCCCGCACACTCTGTTCCAGCCCCACGGCGTTCTCCAAGGTCCCCACACTTGCCCGGCTCCCTCACACAGAGGGCCTTTGTCAGTGCTATTACTTCTGCCCGGAACACTCTCCCCTCACCCTGCTGTGATCTCAAGTCCCATTTACCCTTCAGATACCAGGGCCGCTGCCACGTCTCTAAGGGCCCTGCTGCCCACTCTGATGGAGTCTAAGTGTTCGCTCAGCTCAGAGCCCCTATTTATCTTCCTCATGGGCTCGTTGCCACTGCCGTTTCCCCGTGCGTCTGATGAACATGCAGCTGAGGTTGATCCCCCTCAGCACGCTGGTCAGCGTCTGTTTATGCGCAACCTTATACTGAACCCCCGGGACCTGGTGCCTGGCACTAAAGAGACACTCGGATGTTTTGTTTTGTTTTTAATAAAATGATCATTGCATATATGTTAGTGTGGCATCTTAGATGATTACCTGCTAAGGCGTTTACTGTTTCTTTAAAATAATTCACTGTGATATCCTGAATAGAGACGATCGCTTCGTCAGCCTGCCGGGCCCACTCCTGGGCTTCCTTCTGCAGAGCCACTATCCTTTTAGGGCCCAGATCATCCTCATCCAAGGATTTCTATAGAAAGAACGGAAAGTTGCACAAGTAAGAAAGAACAGCAGTGTACGGACATTGGGAAAGTGAAAGGAAACGGGTCGCATGGATTATTTCAACTACATTATTGCTCCTACTCAGTCAATAAAGTGTCATGAATTCAGCAACTCCTTATTGAGAATGAACAAGGCTCTAAGGTGGCTGGAAGTCAAAGGGATTCTCTGGGGCATAAAGGGAAAAAGAACCCCTACTTTTACTTTGCATTACCAGAGTGACTTTTTCTAGAGAGGAATGCAGTCTAGTTATGTTTCTCTGTTAATAATAATACACAGTTTAAATGAGATCTGTGTTAAGCACTCAACATGGGCCTGGTACACAGCACTCAAGTGTTAGCTGTTGCTATGGTTTCTTTTAGGAACATGAAGCTTTTCAATATGATGATTCTTTTCTAAGGGGAAAAAATAATACAATAACCCAACAGAGCCTGGCTGGCGTGGCTCAGTGGTTGAGCGTCACTGACCCATGAACGAGGAGGTCACGCTTCGATTTCCGGTCAGGGCACATGCCGGGTTGCGGGCTCAATCCCCAGTGTAAAGCGTACAGGAGGCAGCTAATCAATGATTCTCTCTCATCACTGATGTTTCTATCTCTCTCTCCCTCTCCCTTCCTCTTTGAAATCAATAAAAACATATTTTTAAAAAATAACCCAAAGATCGTAAAATCTGTACATTCATGATTATGGCATGTACTCTGTCATACAACATCCAAGTCTTCTGCAAAGGTAGTAATGTAAGAAATACACTCGGGTGAACCATCAGGGAAATGTAAGTCAAAACTACAATGATCCACTCAGAGGGCTATAATAAAAAAGACATAATACCAAGTACTGGCAATGACGTGGACAAATTGGAAACCTCATTGACTGCTGTTGGGAATGTAAAATGGGGCGTTGCTTTTGGTAAACAGTCCGGCAGCTGGTTTCAAAGGTTAAGCATAGAGTTACCATATGATCCCAGAATTCCACTCCTAGGCAAATACCCAAGAACAATGAAAACACATATCCACATAGAAACTTGTACCCAAATGTTCCTAACAGCATTATTTATAATAGCCCAAAAGTGGAAACAACCCAAAAGTTCGTCATCTGTTAAATGGATAAGTTGTATTTCTTTATAGTGAATACTATTTGGCAATACAAAGAAATGAAGTTCAGATACACACTACAACACGGATGAACCTTGAAAACATTACACTACATGAAAGGAGCCAGACCCACAGGATCACATATTGTATGAACCACGGAAGGTGAAATGTCCGGAAGAGGGAAGTCCACAGAGGCAGAAAGCAGTCTGGTGGTTGCCCAGAGTTGGAGGAAAATGGGGAGTGACCATTAGGGTACAGAGTTTCTTTTTGGGGTGATGAAAACGTCCTAGAATTAGATAGTGGTGATGTCTGCAAAACTCTGAAAATACCAAAACCCACTGAATTGTGTACTTTAAATAGATAAATTACATCGCAATAAAGCCATTATTTAAAGAAAGAAAAAAAATATATAGGAAGTAAAGATTATCCAAGTAACAGATATTTGAAATAATGAACAGAACAGGTTGGAGTGGCACGTGTTTCATCTAAAGATGATGTCGTGTTTACAGTACAGTAGCCTGGCGGAGGTCACAGGTGTGGAGGATGGCCCAGGGCAGGGGAGAGATCGGGTGACCACTCTGATGTCTTCTGTTTCTGGTGAGACCCCAGGAGAGCTACTAATTAGTTTTAACACTGTATGGAAATGACACTATTCTAACTAGTGTCACAGGGCTCAACGAAGTAAGAGTGATGACAGCATCTACTAAATTAAATTACTGAATTACAACCCGGGGCCCTGCTGCTTAAAGTTACATCTTGTTTCTCAGAAATTTGCACGTGTCCTTAGAGGAGGAAAATAAGCTAAATAAGCATTATATCCAAAAAGAAGTCATCAGCAAAGAATGTGTTTAACCCTTGAAAGTCTGAAGAAATCTGAATGTATTAAGAAGATGGCCCATGCAAAATGTTCTTCATTTTTACATCACTTTTTAAAAATAATATCTCTACAACATCATCTAAACATAAGGGTCGCCCTAGCTGATTTGGCTCAGTGGAAAGAGCATCCGCCTGTGGACTGAAGGGTCCTGGGTTTGATTCTGGTCAAGGGCACATGACCCGGTTGTGGGCTCGATCCCCAGTAGGGGGTATGCAGGAGGCAGCCAATCCATGATTCTCTCATCATTGATGTTTCTCTCTCTTTCCCTCTCCCTCTCCCTCTCCCTTACTCTCTGAGATCAATAAAAATATATTTGAAAAATAAATAAATAAACATAAGGGTGAACCTAATAGGCCAACACAGATGGAATCTTAAATGTGACTAAAGAAATAATATGTGACAAACAGTAAATCAGATAAAGTAAAAACATAAAGAAAACATACCAAAATATCACTCTTACACGAAGCTGCAACTTCTCGCATATCTCTAAACGGCTTCAGTAAGTACTGGAAGAACGTGGTTGCCACGGTAACAAATTCCTGGTATGCTTCATCTTCTTCTCCATAAACTTCCATTAACGCCACCATGGTGTTGGCTCTTTCATGGCCCTGAAGAATCTGGAAGGCAAACAGCAGGTAAAGCTCAAGGATGGACAGCACCAGGTCGGACCAAACAAACAAAACTAAAGACACCTTAATGCTCCAAACGGGGGAAAAGCAGAGTCCACACTTTTATCTTAACTGCGTACGAAATACTCAGAGAAAAGAGGACCCGGAAGACTCATCAAATAGTAAGTGGTGATCTCCGGGGTGTAGACGGTGGATGATGCTTCTCCACCACTTTCCTGACGACAAAGGTTTTGAGATGCTGCAATTATAGAGGTGCCTTCTGACTACCTCCCTGGTGCAGAGACTCTCTCACCTCTCCCGGTTAAAAGGGCCACCAAGCCCTAGCTGGTGTGGCTCAGTGGCTAGAGCAGCGGTTCTCAACCTGTGGGTCGCAACCCCTTTGGGGGTCGAACGACCCTTTCACAGGGGTTGCCTAAGACCATCGGAAAACACATATATAAGAGCCACGGCCTGCGAACTGAAGGGTCCCAGGTTCCATTCAGGTCCAGGGCACAGGCCGGTGCCGGGCTCCATCCCCAGTAGGGGGCGTGCAAGAGGCAGCCGATTGATGTCTCTCTCATCAGGGATGTTTCCATCTCCCTCTCCTTTCCTCTCTGAAATCAATAAAAAACATACTAAAAAAAAAAAATAGTGCCAGCAAGCCCCCAGCAGAGTGGGGGCTTACGTCTCAGCAGAGCGCTTCTCCGGACACTGGGCAGAAAATGAACTGCGCTCCCATTTAACTGCACGTGTCCCCTCTCTGGACCTCCTGCGCGCCCCGCAGACCCCCCTGGCTGCTCACGGCAGGGGAGCGGCACCGGTGACCCCGCGCCCCGGCCTCCACATCGGACCATGGACTTGCTCCTCCGCAGTCCGGATCCCTTGGAAGACACCCCCTCTCTCCCTTGTCGCCCTCCGATGGCCCAGGGACACTAACG